GAAGGGTTTAATTCAGATGCTGATTTTGCCAATGCACTTAATTGTTTTTATAATCGTTTTGATATTTCAGATTTTAGTAATGTAACTCAGGAACTGAGTGATAAACTTAAGGATAATCAGCACTTTGATATAGATCAAAATGATGTTGAAAAGGCTTTCCTTTCAATACGGGTAAACAAAAGCTGTGGGCCTGATAATATCTGTGGACGTTTGCTTAAAGCCTGTGTAAAAGAGTTGAGTCCTGTTTTTACTTATATTTTTAATAAGTCTTTGCAGGTACAGCATGTACCTAAGGTGTGGAAAGATGCTGTGGTAGTCCCGGTTCCCAAGTCCAGTAGTCCCAATACCCTTAATGATTTTAGACCAGTTGCTCTTACATCAATTTTAATTAAAACCCTTGAAAAACTGGTAAGGGAAGAAATTCTAAAGAAAACTGAATATACACTTGACCCTATGCAATTTGCTTATAGGCCACATAGAGGAGTAGAGGACGCTACAGTTACGTTGTTGAACTTACTTGCTAAACACTTGGAGGGTAATGGGTCTCATGCTAGACTTTTATTTGTTGATTTTTCATCTGCTTTTAACACAATCCAACCCCATGTTCTAATTAATAGGCTTTTAGAACAGTTTACATTGAGTAACAATATTGTGGGCTGGATTCTTGATTTTTTAACTAATAGGACACAGAGAGTAAGGGTGAATGGAACCCTGTCTGACGAAGTTTGTTCATCTACGGGCTCCCCACAAGGATGTGTGCTTTCACCTCTATTATTTATTCTCTACACAAATATGTGTCAGAGTAAGTGGGAAAACAGGACTATTTTAAAGTATGCAGATGACACTGTTATTGTTAGTGAGCTTCAGGGCAATGAGACCAGCCATGGCCCGATTATTGATGACTTTATAAAGTGGTGTGAGGAGTCCTACCTCCAATTAAACTTATCTAAGACAAAAGATATGATTATTGATTTTAGGAAACAAGCCCACCCACATGAAGTTACATCTATTAAAAGTCAGAAAATAGAATCTGTGCAATCTTACAAATACCTTGGGACTATTATTGACTCTAAGTTGAACTTTGAAGCAAATTGTGAAGCAGTGTGTAAAAAGGGGCACCAGCGTCTGTTTTGTTTAAGGAAATTGGCCCATTTTCACATTGACAGGACCATGATGATGTTATTTTATCGTGCTTTTATTGAATCACTCTTAACATTTTCTCTGGTGTCTTGGTTTGGAAACTTGTCTGTAAAGAACAAGAATTCACTGAGTCAAATTGTTAGATGGTCTAGTAAGCTGATTGGGGAGTCACAGCTTAGTCCAGCATCCCTGTATACCAGACAGTTACAGCGGATGACTAACTCAATTTTAAATGATGACTCTCATCCTTTGAAGAATGAATTTAAACTTCTGCCATCTAGACGTAGATTTGTATTTCCGTATTGTAGGACTAAGCGGTATAAAAACAGCTTTGTGCCAGCAGCTATCACTCAGTTGAATAAGGATAGGTCTTAGGAACATTGTTATTTATTTATTTATTTGTTTTTTGGTAATTTGTTGTTTTTAGTCTAGGCGGTTTTTTAGTGATGCTGGGAACCTTAAAGCACTTTTATCATATATGTTGGTTAATGTTTGTGGTGTCTGTAAAATGTGAAAGCTGTGAGAACTCATAACACTGCAAACTTAGTCTACCTATGGGTACAAATAAAGTGAACCTGAACCTGAACAACTTGTGGTTCATCACATGAATTTTCAGCTTATTTTTTAAGGAAAGTGAATGAAATAATGTGTGTGGGGTTTATATTTTTTCTGTACATGACACTCATAAGCCCTATTCGGATGGTAATTGTTTCTCATGTGGACGTCTGTAAAAATAAATGTACAAGGCACCTCAGTGATAAAACTCATGGATTCAGATGGCAATTTGTTCACAGAGAAGTGAGTTCTGAGATCCTGCGAACCCGGGAACATGTTGCTCATGTGGCCAGTCTTTCTTCTTTTTGTTCTTA